TTGCATTCGGTGTTCCATATGAGCCTGTTGAAGAAAGATCCTGGCTCTTCTCCATGGAGACCCTCTGTTACTCCCCCTCCGCCTATTCTCCTTGAGGGGGATGAACATTTTGAGATTGCTGATATCTTGGATTCCAGACTTAAACGTGGTAAGCTCTGGTACCTCATCGAATGGATTGATTTCGGCCCCCAGCACCGCGAATGGGTGGAAGTAGGGGATATTCGGGCCCCTTACCTGCTTCGTGAATTCCACAGGAAGTTCCTGGACAAACCGGGAGGTCTCCCGCCCAAACCGGGAGTTCTCCCGCCCTGCCCGGGAGACGGTGGTTAAAGTGTATTTTTGAGGGGGCAGTATGTCAGCAAGCTGCCATGGTGTTCTGTGTTGGTTGTATCTCTGTACAGTTGCTCACCCCCCCCCTGCCTGTACGCCTGTATTTTACTCTGCTGTAATGCCTAAGCCAAACAACTGGAGGATGTATTGGGGGAGTATGCTTTACTGCCAGCTTGTTGCTTTTAGAGCCTGGGAACTGCACCTGTATTGTGTCTGGAGATAGCTTGGTTCTCAGGGAATGAGCGCGTAACCGTTTCCTTTCACCCGCCAGCGGGAAAGTGCCCCATTGGTCCTGTACCTGGTTCGAATCCCTTTATCTTGTTTGCCCTAACCGTTTGTAGTCACTTCTAACAAAGAACGTGTTTGAGTGTCTTTCCAATGCTTTGAAATAAATTTTGCTTTTCTTCAAAACGTGGATTTATTCTCGATGCTTGGGGATCCAACAATAAGCTGGGCACTGTCTGATGAAGGTTAATAAAACAGCCCCCACAATAATAGAGGCAGCATCTGTACCTTTAAGACTGGAATCTAGGATAGTTAGGTGGATAGGGAACTGGTTGTAGAACCGCACTCAAAGAGTAGTTGTCAATGGCATTTCATCTGAATGGAGGGAGGTGTCCAGTGGGGTGCCACAGGGCTCGGTTCTAAGCCCAGTACTTTTCAACATTTTTATAAATGATCTGGATGAGGCTGTTAAATTTGCAGGTGCCACCAAATTGGGAGGAGTAGCAAACACACCAGAAGATAGAGATAGAATTCAACAAGATCAAAACACACTGGCAAAGTGGGCAGATATGAACAAAATGCAATTTAACAATGATAAGTGCCGGGTAACAAAAATGAGAAATGAGTAGAAGTGTGTGTGAACAAGATCTTGGGGTACAGGTGGGCCAAAAGTTAAATATGAGCAGCCAGTGTGATGCAGCGACAAAAAAGGCTAATATGATCTTAAGAGTGTATCAACAGAGGCATAACATCCAAATCGCAAGATGTCATAGTCCCGCTGTACACTGCATTGGTCAGGCCACACCTGGAGTATTGTGTGCAGTTCGGGAGGCCTCACTTCCAAAAGGATGCGGACTGGAGTGGGTGCAGAGGAGAGTGACAAGGACGATCGGGGGCCTGGAGACTGAGCCCTATGAGGAATGGCTGAGGGACCTGAGAATGTTCAGTCTGGAGAAGAGGAGGTTGAAGGGGGACATGGTTGCTCTCTTTAAGTATTTGAAGGGCTGTCTCTTAGAGGAGGGCAGGGAGCTGTTCCTGTTGCAACAGAAGATAGGATTCGCAAGAGAGGACTCACAATAATGGGTTTAAATTTAGGGCAGGAAGGTACCGGCTGGATATTAGGAAAAATGTTTTTACAGTACGAGTTGTGCAACAGTGGAATCAGCTGCCCAGGGAGGTGGTGAGTTCCCCCTCACTGGCAGTCCTTAAGCAGTGGATGGACAGACACTTGTCAGGGATGCTCTAGGCTGATCCTGCATTGAGTAAGGGTTTGGACTAGATGGCCTGTATGGCCCCTTCCAGCTCCGTGATTCTATGATTCTATGAATGTCAGCTGAGACCTTCTAAGACTGCATTCTCCTGGTCATTTGGGGGGAGTCAACAGGCTACTACAACACTGCCAAGTCTTCCAGCCCTCATTTCTGTCACTCAAAGGTGGGGGAACAGGGAGCAGAGCGAAAGCCAGAGCAGGCCTCGGAACAGCCCCACCCTCTCCCCTGCCACATCCCCTGGCAGAGCGAGGGCTTGCCTAGGTCGGGCTCAACAGCAACCCCCAGGCACTTGTACTGCGTAACGGGCACAGCTTGGCTAGTCCCGCAGCAACCACCATGCTGCTCACTCACCCAGGACTAGTGGTGGTCACTGGATGACTCACTATTATGTGCTTTACCTGCTTTCCCAAGGCATGGCGGTAACCCACCATGCAACTTGCTGGGTGATTTACTACTGTGCAACTTGGCAGGGCCCAGCAGTGGCCACTGTAGAACTTGCCAAGGCCATTCACTACCGTGCAACTTGGTAGACTCAGCTCAGTCTCCAGGCAACTCTCCTGAGTCTGGCAACAGCTATGGCATAACTTGCCTCGATGACATGTCACTGCACAAATTGCATTACTCAGCCAGATTTCAGGTGACCCCCATACAAACTGGACGTCTCAGTCAGCCATGAGGGCAGCCACTGAATGACTCACCCTTGAGCAAGTGACTACCATGCAACTTTCACAACTCACCCATATTTAGGGATGGCCCTGTGAGACACACCTGGGAGCTCATCAGTACACAAATTGCATGACTTAGCCCAGCAGTGGCTGCCGTGACAGTCACCCACGCAACTTACTACCAAACAACTTGTCTGGGCCCAGCAGCAAACACCAGGTGACTCACTACTGCACAACTTGCCCCAGCAGTGAATACCAAGTGAGATACCTGAGCAACTCACTACCATGCAACTCAGTGGGCCCATCAGCAGCCGACACATAACTCATCCAGGCAACCTGAAACCACATGGCTTAAACAGCTTGCCCAGATCCAGCAGCAGCCACTGCACAAGTCACCATGCAACTCGATCAGAACCAGCAACAGCTACCACAAAACCTGCCTGGGTGACTAGCTATCATGCAACTTGTGTGACTTAACTGGGCCTAGAAGGAAACATGACTTAAAATATAACGGAGCTACCTACAGCTATGAAGTCTGCACATTTCAAAAGCGACGTAACCAGCAATTGCTTATTGTCCAAAACCGTTTTTAAGTTACCTCACTAGTTCCATTCTCACCAACACGAACATAGACCAGATAGCTTCCCTTCGAAATATGAAGACAAACGGGGAGGGGGGATCCGATTAATCACACTAATGGTGTGTTTCAGCATCCTTCAATTAAGCTATATCCATCATATGCCGAACCTGATGTTAGAAAATTTAAGTCCAGGCTCGCAAGTATGTGTGAAAGAAAAAGCGATCAAAACCACATATTCCCAACTGCACATGGACTAGTTACCACCAGTGTTCCCTCTAAGGTGAGTTAGTGCGAGCTGGCTCACAATTTTTTAGCCTCCAACTCACACATTTCCGTCTTTGCTCGGGAAGGAGGCCTCCAGAGCAAACTAATATATGCAGTAGCCAAATCGCTCGCTCACAACTTTAATGCCAGGAGCTCACAGAGTAGAATTTTTGCTCACAAGACGCCACAGCTTAGAGGGAGGACTGGTTCCCACTCTACAGGATCGGGGCTAGCATCATTACCACACACACGCCTGTGGCTCTCGCGTGGGGCTCGCGCACACACAAAAACTTCGCCACCCCCAAAACGCCTTAACCGAATAGGCGGGAGGAAGAGCCCAACCTCCAAACGCTCAGGGTGGGATCAAAGCGGGGCGACCGCGACACACAGGATGGCGGAGTGCCTCCCGGGGAAAAGCGTGACTCGGTTCCCGCCAGCGCCAGATCCTGCGCGGCTTGCTAACAACGTCACACCAGCCTCCTTCCCACCCGGCAGGCTATGTGGTCTCTGTGGCACCTGCGGTCTTCAGTCATTACCTTGGCCCGCGACATGATGCCCGCGCCCGAGTCCTTCCGCCACAAACCCGGCCGATCTTTCCTTCCGGCACCACTTCTGCGCGCCCGCGCGCAACAGCGACACTACATGGCCATGACTGGAAATGCACGGAGATGGGTAGGGATGGGAAAGTGGGCGGCTGTCGCGTTGGGAGGAGTGAAGGCAGACAAAGGCGGGGGGCGGGGGGAGGAAACGTCGGGGGGGGGGAACTTGATCCTTGAGTCCTGGTTTCCGTTCGATCGCCTCTTTGAATGTTCTGGCGCAATAAATAAGAAGCTGATGCGGCACAGACTTAGCAGGATTTTAAAAGCCGTTATTGCTACAAACCAGGAACTGTTAGTATTCCACAACTGGGGAAAAGACAAATAGAGTATTTCCTCCCCCCTCTTACAATAAGGATTAGCACAAAGGTTGAGTCCAGCGGCACCTTTAAGACCAAGAAAGTTTAATTCTGGGTATAAGCTTTCTTGCGCATGCACACTTCTTCAGATAAGTTACCTCACTAGCTTTCCCAAGGCAAGGCCAAATAAAATCAGGACTATTTTCATACAATGAAAGATCACAAAGTGTTTTCCATTCACAGAAGTAGAACTGCGATTTTATGGAAGAAGAGGAGGAGGAGATTGGATTTATACCCTGCCCTTCAATACCCAAAGGAGTCTCAGAGCGGCTCACAAACCCCTTTCCCTTCCCCTCCCCACAACAGACACCCTGTGAGGTGGGTGGGGCTGAGAGAGCTCTGACAGAAACTGCTCTTTTTCAAGGACAGCTCTTATCAGAGCTACAGCTTGCCCAAGGTCATCCAGCCAGGTGCAAGTGGAGGAGTGGGGAATCAAACCCGGTTCTCCCAGATTATAGAGTCCCTGCACTTAACTACTACACCAAGCTGCCTGCATCCCTCCCCCCTTTCAACTAGAGGAGCGAGAACATGAATTCACATTTTACTACATATATTGAAATCTTCCTGAGAAATGTAATAGGTAAAGATAAGCCCCAGGCTGAGACCAACATGTCTGCATGAATTGTTGGTAGATATGCACATTTATCCCAATTTAATTAAAGCGTCAGTTTTTTATCTGGAAGTATGAGTCTTTTCCCAAACTTTGGCTTTACATTTTGACCCAGGAAAACATATCTTGGTGCTTGTGGTTAGATCATTCAAAGGGGGTGCCACAGCACCTGCCTATGTACTCCCTGGAGTTTGCTTGTCTTTTGAGTGTATCTTCCCTGAAGCAAAGATCTGATCCCAGATTCCCCTTCCCCTTTGGTGCAGGAGTTGTATTATTACAGCCTGGAGATATTGCCCTTATGTCTTCTGGGAGACGTAGGATGATACTTCACATGGAAACTCCCAATATTTTGAGGGACTTCCCACTGTTTTTTAGTTGGATGTTCCTATTTTAGTAAGTTTGAGATATTAAAAAAGATGACATAACCAGTGTTCCCTCTAAGCTGAGTCAGTGTGAGCTAGCTCACAATTTTTTAGCCTCCAGCTCACACGTTTTTGTCTCAGCTCAGGAAAGGGTGGCTCCAGAGCAAACTGATTCATGCAGTAGCCTGATCACTCGCGCACAACTTTAATGCCAGTAGCTCACCAATTAGAATTTTTGCTCACAAGACGTCACAGCTTAGAGGGAGAGTTGGACATAACTCCTCTCAAAGAAAATCAAACAAGAATAATTAACATTTCACCATTCACACTATGCTGTTTCCTGCAGCATGGAGAACTAAGTTTTCAACGCACTTGACCACTCGTTTAGAATCGACTTTATTCAACTCTTTAAGCAGACAAAGGTTCAGTTTACTCACATTCACCAATGCACCTGCCATGTTTCAGAGGCTAATGAATGACATTTTCTGGTACCTGCTTGACCAGTATGTCATAATCTTCCTAGACAACATCTTGATTTATTCCTGAAAACTGCTAAGCACACCGAACATGTGCATACTATGGTTTAAACCAGTGAATCAGGAAGGCCTAGCAAAGAATATCAAGATAGAAAGAAGAGTTGGGTTAAATATCTCGCTTTTCTCTACCCTTGTTGTTGTTCAGTCGCACAGTCGAGTCCGACTCTTCGCGACCCCATGGACCAGATCACGCCAGGTTCTCTACCCTAAGAGGTCTCAAAACAGTTTATAATCGTCTAGCTTCCTCTCCCCACAACAGGTACCTTGTGAGGTAGGTGGGGCTGAGAGAGTTCTGAGAGAACTGTGACTGGCTCAAGGTCACCTAGCAGGCTTCATGCAGGAGAGTGGGGAATCAACCCCGGATTTCCCAGATAAGAGTCCACTGCTCTTAACCACGACACCACACTGAGTCTTTAAGAAAAAGCAGACAAAGTGGTAAAAACAAAGTCATCATCCAGAGCAGAGTGAGACTTTGAGGACAGCCAAACAAAGCAGAACAATGGTACAAGTTCACATCGAGATCAGATATTAAGGATGGAGAGACAGGAATCAAATAAATAATAGGAAATTCCTTTATAAATCTGCCAAGATCAACATGTGAGTAACTAGAACATACTAAGCTACTAATCCTCTTTGGAGAATTCCAGGAAAAAAACAGTGGGCGCATACAGGCCTAACATTAAAGCAGAGGCTGCGGTAGATTTTTTCTTCTTGCACGATGAGCCTTCCTTCCTTCCGCCTTTGCAAATAATAGACATCTACATCTCAAATGCTGGTTCAGCTGTCCATCCTGCTCCTTTCATTAGGCTTCAGGCAAGCTGTCCAACTTTTTGTTGAATAAAAGCACCTAACATATGTGTACTCATACACGCACTCATCCATCCCGTAATTTCTTCCAGAAGGCAAAATCATTTTTTTTAAAGTTGCAGAAACTGCTCAGTCGATGGGAATAAGATGGGCTCATCATTTTGCAGGTACCTGTAAAACAGTGCCATGGGCTGGCTTCGTCTGTAAAAATCATAGAACCATTTTTCCCCCCTTCCTGAGCTTGACCCTGGAGAGAAACCAGGTTATTGGAACGGCATGCAGAGCATTGGGTTTCAGAGCAAATAAAGTTGTGCCTGTATGCCCCCAATGGCACACATTTCAACACTTATTTGTGAGTGGAGAAAGGAAAGAACATTGTGCTTTTCATCTATATCACGACTTTTAACAAAGCGAGTAAGCTTTACGGATACTTTACAGCATTAGCAAACTAATGCTGTGTGAGAGAAGGAGGAGAACTTAGAACGGCATACTGAAGACCAAAACAAATAGCACCAGCTTCTAGGTCCAACTTTGTTCTCTTTGTAGAAATCAATGGCTAACTGTGAAGCAAGAACAGAAGCAGGCCAATTATGCATTTCCAAACAATAGGATATCTCCAGCTCTAAACAACAGGATATCTGTCCTATTTATACAGAATGATAGAACACACTATTGTCTGATTTTATGCTATCAACCCTCATGCTTGCCTCATCCCCCCCCCACATACAAGCTGTGCAAGGCTTGTGCTAGTGATCTATACCAACACATACTTCATTCACAAGTGCAACTTACTGATTTCTGTACAGCACATTCCCCCTCGCCCCCCATTCAGCCTAGCTTTTTGCACAAGTATTAAACCAGATACCAGAGCAGACCAACCTTACATATTGTATTGAAAATGTGGGGTGAATTAAACAGGGGGAACTGAGACTATTCAAAAACTGTAAACCACTAAATGTAATAGGGATTGGGTCTGACATGGCTTGGACAGCCAGGCTGCCCACTCCTGCTCTACGGCACCCTTCTAAGAAAATCACTGTCTAAGACAACACCTTACCTCATAAGTCTCTTAGCCTACCGTACAGCTACAACAAGTAAGTGGCACAGGGTTGATGCATTACAAACAAATACATTTTCCGTTTGCAGCCATTAGAAGAAGGGGAAGAGGGGGAGGAGGAGGAGGAGGAGAGATTGGATTTATACCCCACCCTTCACTTGGAGTCTCAGAGCGGCTTACAAACTCCTTTCCCTTCCCCTCCCCACAACAGACACCCTGTGAGGTGGGTGGGGCTGAGAGAACTCCGACACAAACTGCTCTTTTTCAAGGACAGCTGTGCCAGAGCTTGTGACTGACCCAAGGTCACATCAGCAGGTGCAAGTGGAGGAGTGGGGAATCAAACCCGGTTCTCCCAGATTAGAGTCTGCGCACTTAACCACTACACCAAACATTACCCTTGGCAGCTCCTGCACAGGGAAGAGGCAGGCAATGACGGGAGCAACAAGGCTGCAGCTGCATGTTCAAGTTGGCAGGACACTTTTTGGCACCGATCCTTTTTCCATTCTACTCTCAGCCGATCGACCCAAATGAAGAGAATGTTTAAAACCCAACAAGAAACACTGATCAGGCCAGTAGTATTATGAGTCAGCCATGAATCTTCTTACCCAGCACACTGGATCTTCAGGATTATTCAAAAATTTAATGGTCAATTTATACCATCATTGAAATCAAGTAGGAAGGCTTTTCCTGGATTGCGCCACATTAGGCTGTGGGCAGGGCATGATGGAAACTCTGTTTTCAGGTGGCCCACCCTCAACATACACACCCTAACCCTATACATTAAAAAACCCTGCACACCAGAGAGGCTGAGCTTTCTCAGTTACATCGTGTTTTTGTATGTGCATAAGGATATGTTGTGGGAGTACATTCAAATATGCAGCACTCCCACCTGCAGGCCAAAGTGGTATAAACTGGCCCTAAGCTAAATCATTCAGAGAAAGCTTGTGGCACAGTCCTCCCAAGCATATTAGAATGGAAGTAGGCAAAACAACATCTGACTATTCTTCTGGATCAACGCTTCTTCTCTTGCATGTTGAAGTCATGAATATGACTAGATTATAATTCTAAATCTTGCACATGCTACCCTTCTGACAGCGAAAGCATTCAAATTGGGACTAACTCAGACACTGTAAACCACTAAATGTACTAGGAACTGGGTCTGACATGGCTTGAGCAACCCAGGTTGCCCACTCCTGCTCAAGGGGACACTTTTTGGTGGGACTATGCCATGTTTGTTCCCCCCCCCAAATTGTTTTAATGATCTTCCAGGGCTTTATTAATCAAGACTGTGCATATGTGCATGCCTGCTTTAGTCACTCAAGGTACATTTGGAATACATGTGAACATGAAAAATCTGGAGTCCTTAGAGCAAAGACTCAGACAGCTGAAATCTCTTCACCTTGTGCTGAGCCTTTAGCCGACAGGCTACCTGAGACATTGTCAGAATCTAATAGCTCAACAATGCTGTATGGAGAACAGTCTTCTAGGCCCATCTTGCTGCAAAGCCAGCCGCAGAACCCTTTTTCCATATCTCTCACAGCATGCCACCAATCCCCAAAGGCCCATGAGATCTGAGTCACTGCTGTATAGAGGCCCAGGGAGCAGGAAACAACCATGATTATGATTGGGTAGAAGATGATTAGAAAGGGGCAGAAGGTGATCTTGTGCCAGAAGGTCCTCTCTTCATTGTACACTAAGAAGACATTGTACCAGGTGATGGTCCCATAGTAAAAGGAAACCACAAAGGACATAATGAAGATGACGGGGAGGCTGGCAAGGCTCCAGAGAAGGATGTGGGGGCCCTTAGCCAGCCCAATTTCACAAGCTTTCTTCCCTTCTGGCATTTCAGTTTTGGGAGGGTCTTTCGACTTAGTCAGCTCTTGCAGCTCTTTGTCAGTCAGTGTAACGTGAATATCCACCATCTGGCCTTTCTTCTTTCCTCTTGTGATGGTTCCAGTTAAAGTAACATATCTGCTATCTAAGGGCATAGCCCAAGGACCTAGGAGAACAAAGAAATAAAATCAAAACAAGACAGAACCCAAACCAGACTTTCATTATTATTATTTTTTTGCAGTAGGGTTGCTAGGTTCCCCGGGCCCACCAGTGGGGGATGGGGGGGGGATGGGTTGCCAGATCAAGGTTGGGAAACTCCTGGAGATTTGGGAATGGAGTCTGGGGAGGACAAGGACCTCAATCGAGTACAATGCCATAAAGTCCATTCGTTTTCTCCAAGGGAACTGATCTTTGTAGTCTGGAGATGATCTGTAATCCCAGGGCATCCCCAAGTCCCACCTGGAGGCTGGCATCTCTAGCAATCAATTTCATTTAAACAATGTTAAGAAAACAAGAGGTTGTATTTGTTTATGTACATTGCATTAAATTCAACAGAACTAACTATTAGCTTAAGTTTACAGCAGATTCACACCAAGAAAACAGCCTGATTGTGTATATAGTTAGATGCGCCAAGCTAACGGAAATCACTTTGCATAAGAACATGCTAAAAAGTTATTTTTTTCATTTGCCCCAGGTTTCTCATCTTGCGAGACCAACTCATTATGCTAATGAGCTCCTGCACCTCTTTTTCTACGAAATGACCCCCGTCTACATCAACATTTATAAACAGGATTGGAGTACAAGGATTTCACTTTTCAGACATGCAAATATTAGACAAAAAACATAAGAGTCCTGCTGGATCACACTAGTGGTCCATCTAGTTCATCATCCTGTTTCATACAGTGGCCAACCAGTTTCCTTGGAGGGCCAAGAAACAGGGCGTAGAGGCCATAGAGGCACTGGTATTCAAAAATTTGCTGTCTTTATATGTGAAGGTTCCCTTAACCCACCATGGCTAGTAGCCAGTGAAGGACCTATCCTCCAAGAATTTGTCTAACCCTCACTCAAAGTCATCACTAAAAGGGGGTGGGACAAATAATAAGGCTAATGATTTGACAACTGCTTTCCAAAATGAATTTTAAAAGTCATACAAGTCCCTTTCCTAGCTTCTAGGAGGAAATGAAACATGCACCATAAATCACAAACCACTTATTCTAGGGCATTTACCATCTCCTATAGAGTGTCCCAAGAACTTGGAGCCTTCCTCTGAATTTTTCTCACCCTCCTCCTCATCCACCTGTTCTTCTTCCACCTTGTTCTCATTTCCTGTCCGATACACGATTATCGATTCTGGGCGGGGTTCTTTCTTTCTCTTCTTCCTTCTGTCTGTAGTTGTCTCTCCATCAAAGGTCACTGCAGTAGCTACAGCTCTGCGTAAGGAGTTGCGCTGAGGGCTTTGTGTCCCGCTCTTGCTCTCCCTTAATGCAGGTTCTTCCATCCCACTAGTGTTCTCACTGGGCATCTCCGCAAGGCTTTTATTTCAACAAAATATCAGCTTTGTCTGTACTTCTGAGTCATTAACACTGATTTTCAGGGATGCTCCGACTAATAACAGCAGCCATTTCATAGCACCGATCAAACACATTGCATTCCTAAAGAGAAAATAATTGGAGCAAATACTCATTCCATATAGTAAAATGAAGTAGCATCTATGGCATTCTGCCAGCTAATACATAACATATGGCACTCAACAATCTTATAGGTCCTGTCTCTTAGGTCCAAAATCAATATTATCATTGTAGTTTTTGCATATTTATATTAAATTTTTAACCAAGAGTTTAAAACAGATTTAATTTTGTTTACTAAAGGATAATGTTTATTTTATTTATTTATGTTCACTTTGTCCAGGTGTTTGTGTGATTTAGAGCAACTTTTCTTTACAATGGAAGAATTTTCATAAAATATATATGACTAGGAATAAAGCCCATTGTGGAAATAAATATAATGAGCTCTAGAAAGAGGCTCTGGGTGGGTGCCCCGGGCTTGGGCACTCAGCGTCAATTTGCAGTGGCAACCTCAGCAGGGTATAATGACACAGAGTCCACCATTTTCTCCAGGAGAACTGATCTCTGCCATCTGGAGAACAGTTTTAATTCTGATTGATCTCTAGCCCTCACCTGGAGATTTATTAAACGGACAAACTCTGTGATAAAAATGACAATGACATTTAATGAATCTTATGAACATCAAATTATATTACAATTGAAATTCTAACAGTCTCAAGGAAAAGTCCTTCATCCTCAATGAGTACCCAGTTATAAACTCATTTCCCCAATCTCCCTCAGGAATAATCCTATTATATTGAAAGGTGTCAGCCTCTTGATACAGCTTAACAACTAGGGAGCAATTGAGCCAGCAACTTGAGATAGAGAGCAATTGCTAGCCAAGAGGACTGGTTGCTACTATTAGGAATAAATTAACTGGCTTGCTCCTAATTGAAACACTTGAAATAGAACTAGAAGTAAGTTAAATGTTAAAAATTATTAATAATGTTAAAAATTACAACAAAACAATATTCCGTTCAGCTTCATGTTTCTTTTCATTCTAAATAACCATTCTAAATAGCCGCCCTGAGCCTGCTCGCAGGATGGGCGGGGTATAATTATAATAAATAAATAAATTATTCCAGGATAATTTGAAGAAAGTAAAAAAAGAAGTTAAGCTGTAAAAATTTGAAGAAAGGAAAAAAGAAGTTAAGCTGTATCAAGAGCTATATGGTGGCCAAGTGCAGAGTGATGCACATTGGAGTCAAAAATCCTAACTATAAATACACACTGATGGGGTCCAAACTGGCAGAGACTGACTAAGAGAGAGACCTTGGAGTCGTAGTAGATAACTCACTGAAAATCTCGAGACAGTGTGTGACTGCAATATGCTGGGGATTGTTAGGAAGGGAATTGAAAACAAATCAACCAGTATCATAATGCCCCTGTATAAATCGATGGTGCAACCTCATTTGGGGTACTGTGTACAGTTCTGGCAACCAGAATGATAAACGGGTTGGAACACTTTCCCGATGAAGAAAGGTTAAAACGCTTTGGGCTCTTTAGCTAGGAGAAATGACAGCTGAGGGGTGACATGATCGAGGTTTATAAGATTATGCATGGGATAGAGCAGGTTGAGAAAGAAGTTCTTTTCTCCCTTTCTCACAATACAAGAACTCGTGGGCACTCAATGAAATTGCTGAGCAGTCGGGTTAGAACAGATAAAAGGAAGTACTTCTTCACCCAAAGAGTGATTAACACATGGAATTCACTGCCACAGGAGGTGGTGGTGGCTACAAGCATGGACAGCTTCAAGAGGGAATTAGATAAGCATCAGTGGCTATAGCCACAAGGTATAGATAGGAACTCTCAGGCTGGGGCAAGTGATACTCTGTATTCTTGGTGCTTGGGGGAGGAGGCAACAGTGGGAGGGCTTCTAGGGTCCTGGCCAATGTTCCCTCTAAGTGGTGGAGTCTTGTGAGCAAAAATTCTACTTTGTGAGCTACTGGCATTAAAGTTGTGAGCAAGCGATTTGGCAACTGCAGAATTAGTTTCCTCTGGAGCCATCCTTCCTGAGCTGAGACAAAAATGTGTGAGCCGGAGGCTAAAAAACTGTGAGCTGGCTCACGCTGACTCAGTTTAGAGGGAACACTGGTCCTGGCCGCACTGATGGACCTCCTGATGGCACCTGGTATTTTTGGCCACTGTGGGACAGATTGTTGGACTAGATGGGCCATTTGCCTGATCCAACATTGGCTTCTCTTACATTCTTATGGTCGGCGATTTCACTATTAGTGATCATCTCCCAATTATTATGTCTTTAAATATTAGCACCCTAGAAAGAGTTCCCTGCCGCTTTCCATCCCAGTTCGAGTCAGACTTACTTCCTAGAATTTTGTGGAATGATTTTACCAGCAACTACTTAAAACAAGCCCTCTTCTTGAGTACAAAGCTACCCTAATCGATGGGACTGAACCCTCATCAATGTTAGCGGTTTATAATGTACTAATTTCACATATTCCTACGTCACTGTGCATAAATCCCACTAATATAAACAAAAGGGACAACAAATATTTACATCAGTGGTTTTACAGGGAATGTAGAGAGCTAAAAACTCGATTACATAATGTTACATAATGAAACATAATGTTTATAGCCAATACCATTGATTCTGGTGACCAAACCACTCCCAAAGAATATTTTAAACTTAAGAGACAGCTACAAATGTGTATTAAACAATATATGGTAGATTTAATAAGACTGCATACTTAGCTAGGACTTGTCGCTGTCACATCCTCCTCCACTGCTACTTATATGCAGACGTGCGCTAAAGATTTAAACTTGTTTTTAGCTGAATGATCGCTTACCTGAAGTTACTGAGAAGGTAGCCATTTTTACAGTCTGCAATAAGAGTCCATTCGAGAAATGTTATAGTATTAATATTTTCTTTTAAATACCACATAAACTTTTACATCGTTGGCTTTGTACCCCCCCATTCAACTGCTGTTTGTAGTATTTGTACATGCCAAAAAGGTGACTGACTGACTGATTGTCACTGCTCATATCTTTAGAGTTATGTATTCTTTGCATCCTCCTGGAACAAATTGAGACCTAGGTTTCCTGTCTCATTACCAAAGCTGATATCTCCATGCCAACTACCCTCTGCATATCACACGTAATCCAATCAAGCTTGCTATTGCAATTCAGCATCTGAAATCATTTTTATAAAGTTAATATCTCTTTACACTTTATGGCACATATGGCCTGGCCCAAAATAGTGACATTTATGTCAGATCTGGCCCTCACAACAAATGAGTTTGATACCTCTGCTTTAGGCAATGTGAGTGAACATATGAAGACTGCAATCCATAAATCCAGAACATACACTTAAGCCTGCTCAGTCCTATTGATTAAAGTTGGAGTAACAATTTAAGCACATTTACTAAGAAGTAAGTCCTGCTGTGCTTAATGGGATGAATGTGCTTAAAATTGGGTGGTTAGAGGCTGTTCATATGACCACCTATCTGTGGAAACTGTAAAGTCCATGGTAGCCACTGAAATATCAGTGCAGATTTTAGGGAAGAATACTTGTATAAGGTTTCCCTGCATTAAAAAAGAGTGCATTCTCCTCCAACAAAACATATAAGCACCTGACCACTCCCCCCCAAAAAAAGAAAACTGACACTTAATTTGGTGAGAAGTGAATGATAAAAGAGAAGAAAGGTAGTTGAAAGTTCATATCACTGCCTCAGAATTTCAGCTAATGAGATGGTGGGACTAACATAAAATGCTGTGGTGCTTAGAAAAAAATCACACTAAAGTAATTTTCTTTAAAAAAATCTCACTGTGAGAAGAATGAATATTTTAGCACATACAAATCACCTGGATTTATTAACCCAAGACATAGACTAGACTTAATTTTGAGAATAGCTCCCAAACAGCTGAGGTCACATTTGGACTAAAACAAACACAAGAACATAAGAGACGCCAATGTTGGATCAGGCCAAAGGCCCATCCAGTCCAACACTCTGTCACACAGTGGCCAAAAATACCAAGTGCCATCAGGAGATCTATTAGTGGGGCCAGGACACTAGAAGAAACAGTGCGATGGACCTCTGCTCCATATGCTTATCCAATTCCCTCTTGAAGCCGTCCATGCTTGTAGCCGCCACCACCTCCTGTGGCAGTTAATTCCATGTGTTAATCACTCTTTGGGTGAAGAAGTGCTTCCTTTTATCTGTTCTAACCCAACTGCTCAGCAATTTCATTGAGTGCCCACGAGTTCTTGTATTGTGAGAAAGGGGGAAAAGTACTTCTTTCTCTACCTGCTCTATCCCATGCATAATCTTATAAACCTCGATCATGTCACCCTTCAGTCGTTTCTCCAAGCTAAAGAGTCCCGAGCTGGTGGCATGCTTGCCCATGATATCATTCGATGGAGGACTCCATTGCATATAAATGTACTTGCCACATGGCACAGCCTATTTGCATGTAGAGTTAGCACACCAGCATTTGGTCACTTGGTCTATACATCCAACAGAATGAGGCAAAAAAGTGTTCAGGCCATCAAATGCACATATTATTCAGTCTCTAAGTCGGTAATTGTATCTTTGAATATTTCCCAACTCTCTGAAAACAGAAAACCAACACAGCTGGCAACGTGTTGCAAGTGAACTTTTTTAGCACAATTTTCTATTTGCAGAGAGGTGTTTTATCCCTCCATGTGGAGAAGCATTCAAACCTGAAACCCCCCACCTGCAATCTGGAAGCGGAACAGTCCATTCTGCTATGTCAGCATTTGCCACCTGGTTCTCTAGCAAATGCAGGCCAGGCAAAAGGGCATGCAGCCAGTGCACTAATTTTATATGTGAATGGACCAATTAAGTGTGCAGTATTCAGCAGCGAAGAAGACAGCAGCTCGGAGGGAGGGGACAAAGAATCGGAAGGTGGAGCAACAGCAAAAGGTCCAGCGTACAACTTGAGAGAGAGAAAAGCGAAGTACCCCAATACCTGAAGATGTGTTCGGAAAGCGCAATAAGGGACAATACTAACCCCAATTGGACATTATTAACACATTTAATGTCTCTAACTTTAACAGGTAAAGAAGAAAGAAGAGATCAACCGCAGAAGAAGCCATTGATTTTGTGAAGGCTAATAACAGACTAATACACTAACTAAAGCATCACTCACCACTTTTCTTGATCCATCTATATACCCTCCCTGCTTTCTGAATTTAAAAGCAATAAAATTATCTCCTTTTTAGGAGAGTTATACAAAAAAAAAGTGTGCGTATACATGACAAGATACATGCAGATTGCTTACATAGCGCTTTGTCTTTGGCTGCCATCACATCAATGACCCACACAACAGTTGATCTCATGAGTCTTTTCTTCAGGATTGGCACACTTCCTTCTGATACGCTGCTGAATCCATGCAATCAGCTGCTGCACATGTGACTGTGTCATTTAAAGATTACTCCCAGCTGTGCAGGGGCTGCTCCCAGGGAAAACTGGTGAAACTGCTCCCATGTATCTCAGGCAGCATAAAAGGGTCCACAATTAAAGCCTGGAAGGACACTGCAGTTTATTGTTGTTGTTTCTATTGCAAAGTTAGTGTGCTCCAGAAAAACAAGAGTGCTATAATGCTAACAGATTTATTGCAGCGCAAAGTTTTATGGGCTAGATGATCCAATGAAGTAAATTCTAGTTCACAACAGCTTGTGCCACAAAAAAAATCTGTTAGCTTGTATGGTACCATGAGAGTAAATTTTGTTCCTATTCCTAAAGTGAGACTGAGCTCAGTGCATGGTAACCCTGGCCCCTGATCACATGGGCCAGATAACGCGGGGGGGGGGGATAGAGAGGCGTTGCTGTTTCTCCCGGAGCAAAATAAAGCGCGGTAGCCCAATTACACGTTCCCCCGAGTCTCCGTGCTTAGGCTGTTAGCTGGCAATCGCACAGCGATGCTGCAGCGTGGCAAAGACGCAGCGCGGCACGATCACACAAGCGTTTTGTGTTTGTGCGCATGCGCTTATGAAAGACATCTGGTTTGCGACGGGACATGGATGGGCGCCGGATGCCATGGGATACTAGCGCTCCGGCGAACAGACGCCAGCCTGTGCCGTGCATTTTCCGGATATTAGTGCACTTTCCTTGGTACTTTTTAACTCCACATCTTTGGCAGGATGCTACGGGTTGGCCACGGGTGCGCTACGCTTCCCAGATGTTGCGGTGTGATCACGCCCCGAAAATCCGCCCGACATTCGTGCCTTTCGTGCGGCAAATTCTCCATGTGACCGGGGCCCCTGTTTCTTTAATTGATACCAATAGTCTTAAGGAAGAAGCTCACAGTCCAAGTGCATGAGGAAGGTCTTGAATAGTTCAAGGGCTAGTTGCTGCCATATACAGTTCACTCATGTCACCTGGCCCCACAGCAACAGTGTGATTTTCCTTCTGGGGAACAAGATTTTTAAAAAGCCAACCCTATAAACCTTTTTAATATGTAAGCAACACCCCCCCCCCCAAGATTTCTTGGAAAGATTGTTTGCAAGAAGGCCTATACTGTTCTTTTCTTGGCTTCAAAGAATTCCTCAAGTCATGTTAGCAAGAAATCTCCATAGATACCAAATATGCCGGTAACTGTCTGGGACGTCTCTCAAATAATTCCTAACCTACATATAACTCCATGTATTGCTACAATTACGAGTTTCTTTAGACATCACTCTGGGGAGCATCAGTCCACTAGCCGACCTGGGGAAGGAGTTAATTATTTCACAAGAAGAACAAACGGTGTAACGCTCCCAAGGATGGCACCGCTCTGCTCTCAACAAAAGGGACCCTTTACAGCTGCATGGAGCGATCCCTCCTCGCTCACGTTTGCAAACAACAACCTCATTTACAAAGGGGCTCACACCACAACATCTGGTTTACATCGGCTTTAATTTTTTCTTTTAGAGGGAACAAAGCGGCGGAGTGCATGCTTCCCCTAATGGAGAAAAACCCGCAGTCTTTCTTTCCCTTACACTCATACTTACCTGTTTCTGCAAAATCACCAAGGCTTGATTGCAGCAGGCTCGGCGACCCATCTCTGCGCTGATCCGCATCTTGAGGCTCTGTTTCTCTGCCGGCAATGGAGGGCGGGAATAGGACGCGGCGCTGCTTCTTCCAGCATCCCCTACCCCAGCGAAGCCATAGAGATCACCTCACCGAAAGGGATCATCTGCAAAGGGCGGAGAGCTGCCCGCGGAGCCCCAAGGGGCAGCTGTCGGATCAGCTCCCTCCGCTTTTGCTAGCCTGTAAAGGTAGTCAGGAGCTGCGGTGGCTCAAGTGGTTAAGACGCTGAACTGCAGGCTGTGGAGCAGTTCGAGACCCAGGGGTGCCGCATGACGGCGTGAGCTCCCGTATCTGGTCCCAGCTCCTGCCAACCTAGCAGTCCGAAAGGAAGAAATTGCAAGTAGATAAATAGGGACCACTCCGGTGGGAAGGTGACAGTGTTCCGTGCGCCTCGGTGTTTAGTCATGCCGGCCGCATGACCACGGAAACGTCTTCGGACAGCGCTGGCTCTTCGGCTTTGAAACGGAGATGAGCACCGCAACCCTCGAGTCGGACTCGAATGGCTTTCGAGCAAGGGAGACCTTTACCTTTAAAGCTAGTTCTGCATACATGCCCGCGTGAGAAGAAAAAGCTTCGTCCGGGGGGGGGGGGGCGTCGCAGCGGCGATCCGGGGAGAGAAGTCCAACGCCCCTCGCCCCTGCTCCGTCTGCCTGCCGGCTGGGTAGGAGAGCGATGGTGACCCACTCCCACCCACCCCCGGCGGGGTGAGGCGAGAGAAGGAAGCCTCTCTCCGTTCCCTGATGGGTAGTCTGAGGAGGTGGATGGATGCGGGGCTGGAGACAGGAGGCCCTTTTGTGTGGCGAGGCAAGGGGGCGGGAGGCGAGGCCCCTTCCCCTCCGATGCATTAGGAGGAGGGGAGAACCCTTTCCATGGGGTGGCAGCGTCGCCGGGGCGGGCGGGGAGCGGTGAGGGTCCGGGGTCTCCTCCGCCTGCTCCGCGGGCTCCGCGCTGGGGTGGGCGGG